TTTGGTTTTCGTATCAGTTGTAGACAGGAGGTACTAAAATATCGAGCTGCAATTAGGAATTTGTCTAACTCTCCACTAACCTCTGTCACCCTCTGCTGACACAGTTTGGCTGCCTCCTTCTTGTCAGGGGGTGGCAGCCCAAGGTCTTCACACGGCTTGACTCACACTGGGGTGGGGGGTACCTCACTATTTCCAGGTGAGCACGAAGCTCTGCTGTTCTGACGCTGCACTTGGCCTTCTCTGACCTCTGCTGGGTTGAGGGTATTGGGGTACTGGTCAGTCTCCTTTCCTTCTAGTCTTACATTTGTTTTGTGGGATACCCAAGGTTGTGAGCCATACTTAGTGCAAATAGGAAAAAGTACAGATGTTTTTCGACTTGTAAAGGGGTTATATTCCAGTGAGTCCATCTTACATTGAAAATACCACAGATGGAAAGTGCATTAATAGACCTACCAACAGAACATTGCAGCTTAGCCTAGCCTACCTTAAACATGTTCAGAACACGTACATTGGCCTACAGCTGAGCAAAATCATCTCATACAGAGCCTATTTTGCAAGAGTGTTGAACATCTCGTTCAGTGTACTGAATACTGTACTGAACGGGAAGCACATGGCTGCATGTGGGCGCTTTCACATCATCATGAGGCCAGAGACGTTAAGTCAAGCTGTCAAAGCCAAGGACCATTTGTAAGTCTACTCCATCTTCCCAGAAGTCGATGTCTCAAAGTGTGAAACTTTCAAAATCACGTATTCGTCTTGTTTTACTGTGCAGGATGGGAGGGGTGGATAGGACGGCATGGTCCCCATCTCTCTGAGGAAGCCGAGGGGAAAGGATCGTACCTTACGTGGATGGCTCTATTGTGGGGTGATGCGCCTTGAGAGCAGTGGGACCCTGAGCCCTGAATATGACGAGTGACAACCAGGCGTGAGGGGGCAGTTCCTTGAGCCCTGCTGGGTCCTGAGAGCCCCAGGGTTTCAGTATGAGAGCAAAGGAGCTCACATATGGAGCACAGCAGGAAACAGGTCAGAATTGTGCTAAAATGTCCTTCTGCAGTGCCGCACTGCCCACTGGGTGCTGTTCTCCCGGTGTGATACTGGCTTCAGGCTTTACCTTTCCAGAGGCCATATTAACATTTTAATAGGGGCTTCCCTGTCTGCATCCCAAAAGTCACTGGCCTGGAGACTGTTGGGCTCTGTGGACAAAGGAGGAGGAGCTGGGCCAAGGGGTTCCTGCCCTTTCTCTCTGCAAAGTTCTGACGCTACCCCAGGCAAACAAGAGTCTGGAAGGTGGGAAGGAACTTGAGCACTTAGGGTGGGGGAACGCTGTCCCCCCAGGGTGGGAGGAAGGGAGGAAAGAAGGAAGACACAGCACAGAGACAGAGCAGTCTTCTCACGGATGCCTGGCCTCGTCTGCCTAGAAATAGAGCAGGGCTCCAGAGGTACAACTGTGAGAACTGCCATCCTGGCCAGGACTGCGGGGAAGAGTTTCAAAGCCGTTTCCTCTGTGGGAAAAGAGTGACCAGTGGATGCCGTCCCAGAGGCAGCAGTGGTAGCGTGTGTCCATTTGTGCGCGTTTGTGTGTGTGTTTTGTTTGCGTGCCTGTGTAGGGCTATGGAGGATAGAGGAGCCTGCATAGTCCTTCAGGCTGTGTCCTTGCCCCTGGCCACCTCAGGGCCCGGTGGTTGAATCAGCCAACACGCTCATCCCCCAGGCCCAAGCCCCTAACTCCAGGGGCCTCTCTGCACCCCATCACAGTGACCAGTGTCCCCAAGGCCACGCCAGGCCCCAGCACTGCTCCACCACACGGGTAGACACAGCTGCACGCCCTGTCCCAGCTCTATCCTGTCTTCACAGCTCACCTTCCTCAGGCCTGTGTGGGGTCCCTACTCCGGCCACACTGAGTGGCACTCAACCTCCCAGTGGCCCTCAGACTACGGCCTGGTTCCCCCTTCCTGGATCTCCGCCTTCCTCCTCCTCCCACGGCACCTGCAGGAAACCTCCGAACCCCAGACCAAGCCGGCTGGTCCTCCCTCAGGCACGGATGGAGACAGTCACACTGCCTGTGGCTGAGGCTCCTGGGTGCTCCTCCAGCCTCCTCCCAGGCCGTCCAGCAGTTGGGAACTTTCCTCTTCCTTTGTTCTCTGTCCTCAGACGACCTCTCCGCTCTCAGCCAAAGGTCCTGCGCCTGCCTCCTTCCCCAGCGTCTTCCCGCATCACCTGCCTGCCCTCCTTTCCAGCACGATTTGAATATTTGGGTCATGCACCCCGCCCTCCTTTGCAGAACAAGGCAGCTCCCCGTCCCCATCCACTTCTCTCTCCCCTCTTTAGAAAGGGAGCAATTTGCTGAAAAAAAAATTTGCCCAAAACCGCATCTCAGTGACTGATTCCCACTGCGTTTAACAAAATAAAGCCTCTGTTGAAAAAAATCTAGTTGCCAAATAACCAACTTCACAGACTACCAAATCACTAAACACTTACTTTTGGTAACTTATGAAGAGTACAATAATACGTATTTCGTAGGAGGTTTCAAAATCTGCTAATGATTTTTTTCACCGTTTTGACCTTTGATTTTAGGTACTTGAGATATTTTACTTAGGATTTCTCCACCCAGCTTTAGATTGAATTTATAGGCATGTGGTTCCCATTTCTGAAGCTGACTACTTTTCAATAGTTGCTTATAAAGGTTTTGGCGATTCGTGAGGCTTTTTTAATTTTAACCTTTGGTTTGCAGAAAAGACGGTTTGCCCTTCCAGTGCAATTTTACACTAATTTGCATTTTCTCTATTTTTTCAAAGTGGCTTGGCAGTCAGCCAACTAAAAGTTTTTTCTGCATGTTAATTCTCATATATCCATGACAACTTCCCCATGATACAATCCCAAAGTGGGAACGATAGTCCAATTTAGACACAAGTCTTTAAAATTAGAATTGACAGTAACTGTAGTTGAGGGAAAACCCATCCACTGTCACCAAAAAAATACGATGCATTCAAGAAGCCCCCACTCCCTGAATATGGAAACCCACACAAAATTGACATTTCCCAGAAATAGACAGAGAAATCCATAGCAAAGGCTGGTGAATGTGTACCGGATATGCATAAACCAAACTGAACGATTGCAAGCGAAATAGAAAAACCAACCTAAGGGGAAGGCCTTCGTGTTGTGGAAACCAGAATACACAAGTCCCATCATTTCAGAAGTAATTCAGAAGTAAAACAACTTTTGGGTGAATTCCAGGGATCACTCATCAGGGAAACTGATCCCCTAGCAAACTGGTTTGCGGCAAAATTTGAGCTAATTGGCTTCTGGGAAATGGAGATTTGTCATTTTGTACATTGGTCTATTTCTTCAACTTTTCCATTTTGTCCCACGTTTTTCCCTTTGTGAGCCAAGGCACAAGTACATAGAGCCCCCAGGCCTGCCAGCCTCCTTACTGTTATAGTCAGTGAAATGGGCTGGATTCTCAGCACAGTCAAGGGGAAAGAGACATTTGACCGCCCTGTAGACTCTAGCAGAATCTGTACTCTGATTTGCATTTTAATTCTTGTGGATTTTTTTTTTTTTTGAGACAGGGTCTTGCTGTGCAGTTCAGGCTGGCCTTGAGCTCACTTTGTAGCCCAGGCTGGTCTTGAACTTGCAGTGATCCTCCTGCCTCAGCCTCCTGAGTGCTGTGATTACAGGTGTGTGCCACCACGCTCAGCTTCTTGTGGCTATTTTCTTCTTTTCTCTCCATATTGCTCTAAGACAGTGTCTCTGATGAAGACTTCTAAATACTACTCACACAGACGTGATTAGAATGACCGACTTCCAATGACCTGGCCAAGCAGGTGGCTTCAAGTGGAATCTTCACCATATCCACTCTGCCAAGGCAGGCTGGTTTCTCCTGACCTCTCCACTCCAGGCGGGCTGCTCAGGGCCTCTCCCTTTGGAGCCCCTCTTCCTCTCTGGTCATGATTTCTCCCTCTGGCAAGACCCTCTTCAAACCATTTTCCCACTGTTTTCTCCTGGATCACCTCTCACTCTGCCCTGCCCTTCCTTCCATGTGATGAGGAAGAAATCTTCCAGGAAACTTTCTTGTCCAACTGCTCTGGTCAGGGCTTCTTCTTGATGCTGTCCTTCTTCCTGTCACCATCTTAGAGGTCAGTGAGCGCAGGGGGCGTGTCCCTAGCACTCACCTCTTCCATAACCATGCCTGGGTTTCCACCCATCTATGGACTTAGCCAGCTCTTGGATGCTTCCCTGGAGTCCTGGGTCTTCGCCTCGGGCTCTGGACCATTCACGACAACACTGATTTGTCTCCTGGGTGTCCAGGGTTCAGCACATGAAAAACTGATCTTGTCCTCTTTTCCCCAAAGTGTCCACTGCCTAGACCAGGAAACTGGGGATCATCTCAAGGCCTCCCTTTCCCACCACTACCAGTGCCAACTCGGGCAGCTGCTCCTCCTTACTGCCTCTGAGAGCTGCTCATCGTTCCCCCTCTTGGTTCCTGCTTGAGCCCAAAGCATTTATCGCTTCTTCCTTGGAGTAAGACCATTGCCCTCGCTCCTTCTTAGGCCTTCTAATCTATGCCTGAAACAGCTTCCGAGGGCACTTTTCTCTAGCCATACCCTCTGTTTCCTGAACTGCCCCAAATCCTTCACAAGGCATAAAACGTTTCAAGATGGCATTTCAAGCACGCAGACTTTATGCAGTTTTACATCTCTCTCCGGCCCCCAAATTCAGCTCAGTATCCATGTCTTCTGAGAATCTTGGCAGGACCCCATCTTCCCTAGGTGTTCTGCGTTCAGCTAGCAAAATTCCAACCCTGCATTACTCTAATCACGGACTTGGTCACTGAAAGTTTCTAGAGGGCAGGCTGACTCTGACTTGCTTTTATCACCCCAAGTCTAGCAGGTGGGGGGCTTTCAGCAATGTTTCAACAGTGAGAGAAGCAAAATGTAGTCTTCATTAGTCTGTCTGTGGGACTCTGTTCAAGAGGCCACTGTCTTGGTAAGAGAAGGTGGTCCTCTTAGAAAGGACTTGGACAGCATAAAGAGGCCACAAATGTGTTAACTGTGCATATATTTGAAGATGAATTTGGCTCTGCCTCAGACAGGAGGCTCATTTTGTGTGCTAAAACCTCTCCTTCTGCCTTATCACACCTGAATTAGAGACGCTCTGGTCTCTGCCTGGCTTACCTTCTCAGCACTGAGAGGCCGGGCGTGGTGGCACTTGGAAGGGATGAGTGGTTTAGAGCCTGCTTGAGCCACATGACCAGCCTTCAAGGGAACTTGCAGCCAGCCGCTCCTTAGATGTCGCTGATCTGTGACCAAACACAGTCCAGGCCGATCAAATTTTTTCCCAGTCCGCTGCCCATGGGCCACTCCAAGTAGAGATGATGTCATCAAGAGGACAGCCAAGCAGGAGGTGGCATCTGGTACCCACATCCAGCCCAACAAGTCAACTCCTGGGAGCAAAGGAGACAAGTGTCTAATTGACCATGACAGGTTGGAACCCTTGCCAAGTCCTCTTCAAGAAAGGAGGGAGCCACTTTAAAATAAAAATTAAGCTGGCTCTACGAAGCAAGGTATGCCTGGCATCAATGCCCAGGGGAGACCAGCTTGCCAGAGCTTTCTGAAATCTAGCTTTCACAGGCCCGGACACTGAAAGACAGGAGAGTGTTTATTCAGTAGAAAGCCAGGATGACATAACTGGTCTACAGAAAGTCACTCAATATCTACATTAGAAGTCAAATTAAAATGGCCAGAACTGTGTTTTGGCCCCCACCATTAGCCAAAATTAACATTGTAATGTCAATTCCCAATATGGGCAAGGGCAAGGTACAAGTGTTATGTTCACACATAGCTCTTGACGGTGAACGTTTGCACAGTCTCCCATGGAAAACCATTTATCATGGTGTGTCAAGAACTTCGAAGGGGCTCATGACCCTCTGCGCAAGGGAAATAATCCAAAATATGGGGGAAAGAAGTATCGGTATGTTGTTCTTTTAATCTCCATTCTGACTAGCATATGCAGCACTCAGATTGTAGATCATTAGAAATGTCTAAATCGCATGTTACGTATTGAAAGGATGACTACTCTTCATGCAGCAACGTGGAGGTGTCCGTATGACAATGTTGTGTGCGTATGATAATGACAGGTGAGTGAACCAATTTTCACAAGAAAAGGAAGCCCAAGTCGATGACAGTTGTGGCGGTGTCTGGATGTAGGGGAAAGGGGGGATTATTTTTTCTTTTTCAAATTTAGCCCGATGTATCACAGTAAAATATTTCCTGAGACTTGAATGACTAGAGGAGCTAACAAGGGTGAGACTACTTCTCAGGTGATTGGGAAGGATGCTGATCTTTAGGGACCAGATTTTGCTTTGGACGGGACAGGGGTGGAGGCTGCAGAAGTGAGGAGAAGCCCTGTGCCCAGCCTTCTCCGGGGTCCCAAGAAGTCAGGGAAAGAGACAGCTAATCCCAACTGGGAAGAGCTTGGAGACCTACAAGAGGCTCTCTGGGAAACCCTCTGGCTTGAAATTGAGCAATCCATGAATGAATCTGGCATGGGTCCGTGAGGACCCAAGAGGGATCTGAGAAAGTAATGATATCAACTCCAAGGAGACTCCAAGATGGCTGAGAAGGAAGCAGGCCCAGGAGCAGGGACAGAGAAGGCTTTGAGGGTTTCCAATGACACTAGGTGCCTGGATTCGGAGGCGCTAGAGAAGGGATGTCAGTCCTCCAGTAGGAGGGAGGTGGAGACGACTTTGGGACTGTATTCGCGATTCGGTTCTGACTGCAGAGAGCAGGTTTGAGTAGTCACAGGGACAGACGCATAGGGTACATTGTAACTCAGCACTTTGTATTGGAGCTTCAAATGGGTAGGTGGCTGAGTAGGTGCATGGGGCTTGCTGGAATGCAGTGACACGGTCTCAACTGGGTCCAAACATGCTGTCCAGTTGGGACTTGCTGCTCCCCACGAGTCACCACAACTAACGCAAAAGCATCAAGAATCTCGTTTTCTTACCCCGTACTGAGAAAATGTATCAATCAACCAGAAAGCACCTAAGGACATGCTGTGTGCCCCTTAAAGGAAGCCTGTAGCATGCGAAGGAGGGCTGAGGCAGATTTCTCATCCCCGCTGCGTTTTCTCTGATACCCCTAAGAAGGACAATGCTTCAAAATCCGGGTAGTTGTACGTGAAATGGGCGCAAAGAATCCCTCGTGGCGACATCGGAGAAGCGTCGATCTGCCACATGAGAAACGAATCCGAATGTAAATCAGGTGAAAGCAGAATATCTTTTAGGGTTAAATGCAGAAGGGAAAACATGCAAAATGCAGGAGAAACCATTTCGTCCTCCTAACGTGTGCCCTGCACCCTCATCTGCACCCGGAGTCACCACAGCTGCCCGGTTTATTTGCACACAGACAAAGAGGAACCTAAAAACACTTTCATTATCTTAAGAGAAATTTGCCAGCAGGAGAGATGGCCCCTCCTGACAGCTTCTAGGCTTGGTCAGCTTCCTCCTGCTCCTCGGACCATGACTTAGCTGAGTCACTGTGCTCCCTGGGTCCCCAGACACGACCTCCAGCTGCCACCTGCCCGCCAGAGTCACGGGGGCCAATAGAAGACAACCACAACTTCAGGGTCTTACTACCTGGGTTATGTTCATGGCTATAATTTTTCTTTTGTTCTTTGGTTCAAAGAAAACCATAATCTTTATGTAAAATTTTGTGTTTAAGTAAAAAGTCATATTTAAGCTCATGCCAGATATTAAAATATAAATGTAGGGTTTCAATTAAAAAGGAAAGATGATAGATTTACTATAATCCCAGTTCTGTTAACATACACACACAGATTTACATGAAAAAAAAATCTGAGATCTGGGCATGCATGGTGCTGTAATCCCAGCACTCTGGGAGGCTGAGGCAGGAAGATCATGAGTGTGATCTCCACTTGGGCAACTCAGTGACTTAGCAAGAGCCTATTGTCTCAAAAATAAAAAAGGTCTGGGGATACAGTGCAGAGCAGAGGCCCTAGGTTCAGTCCCCAGTGAAATGGGCACAAAGAATCCCAAAAGATAAAAAAAAAAAAAAAAAAACCTGAGTGGCCTAAAAAAACCATTGAGAGTGGTGATCCATAAGGCTGTTTAGAGGAATCATCTTTTCTAAATTTTGCTTTCCTCTATAGTGCAGTTATTTTTAATGGGTTTATATTATTTTTCCCATTAAAACCAATAAAGATCACATTTTATCATCTATTATTTTTATACTTTTTCAAGGCTGGGGATTGAACCCAATAAAAGTCAATGTTACTCATTATTTTTATCTTTTCATAGTGCGGGAAATTGAACCCAGGACCTAGCACATGCTAGGCAAGTGCAAGCACTGCTGAGATCGAACTTCAAAGGTATCCAGGCACTAGGACCTTCTCTGCATGGAAGGTTTTCCTAGTGATGAAATGTCTCCACAGGTAAGCCAGTTACACTCTCCTGTATCATTTATTCCCATTTCCTTCCTGGTTTCGTTCGTCCTACAGATGGGGAAATGGTCAGCATATTCCCTGGCTCAGAGGGACTGTGCGTTTGTTTTTGCTTTTTGTGGTGAAAAGTTGAGACATCTGCAAGGTACTTAGGGGAGGATAATGTGCGTATCGTGCTCCTGCAGTCCGTTTTCTGCCCCGCGTCCCTGCCCTGCTTCTGTCCAGTGGAGCTGGTCAGGCTATGAGGGAAGCTGCTGCTCAACTCTGCGCTGGTTTCCCCAGGGGTTGCATCCCCAGGGGAGCTCAGCCTCCAGCCCCAGAAGTTCTTCCCTTCTGGTGTCAGCAGCAGCAGCCCGGAGATGAATGAGGGTGTGCGAAGAACAACATCTGGCTCTCAGCACCCCGCTTGTCATCATGTCAGTGGGGCCCAGGGGGAGCCGACCTTGCACCCCAGTCAGTAGTGAGCAGAGGCTGAGATTGGTGTTTTCATCAGGAAGTGTCAACTGGGCCGAAGGTAGAATCAAACGTTCTCCCTAGCAGTGCTATGTGCCACACCTAGGGCCACGGTGGCACAAGTGGCACAAGCACCTACCTGGCAAGCGCAAGGTCCTGAGTTCGATTCCCGGTACCAAAAAAAAGTATTACACCTAAACAGGATGACTAAACAAAACAAAAAGACTACTCAGGATCCAGAGTCCCACAGCCTAGTAGCCAGGATGTCTACGACAATAAAATATCACTTGTCACATCAGCAGCCAGACAGTTACAACCTGAATGAGAGAAGCCATTCTGTGGGTGCCAACACAGAGATGGCTCCAATGTTGGAATATTCTAAAGAGCATTCTAAAGCAGCAAGCAAAAGCTGGGTGTGGTAGCACATTCCTAGAGTCCCAGAACTCTGGGAGGCTGAGGCAGGAGGATCAAAAGGTGGACTCAAGCCTGGCCTGGGCATTTTAGCAACTTGGTGAGACCCTATCTCAAAGCAAAAAATAAATAAAAAGGGCTGGGGATGTGACCTAGTGTGAAGGCCCGGGGTTCAGTCCCCAGTACCCCCCTAAAAAGCAATAATTGTAAAAATTATTCAAAGGGTAATGAAGTACCTCCTTGGAACAAAAGTATAAAATAGAAATCATAAAAAAATCTAGGTGAAAGAATATAAGATACTAAATAAGCTACATATCATAAAATTGAAAAATACAATAATTGCAACTAAATGTATTAATGGGCCCAATGATAGTTTGGAGACAACAAAGAATGAATTGCTGGGCTTGAATACAGATAATTATGAATCATCCAATCTGAACAATAGAAAACGGACGAGGCAAATGAGCAGTCTGAGAGATCCGTGAGCTGGTAGAAAAAGCTCTGTCAGTCTTCTAAGCTGAAGCCCAATGGGAATGAGAAAAAGAGTAGGACGGCAATAATAATCAAATAAATAATGGTAAAAACTTTCCACATGTGGCAAAGAGTATAAACCTACAGATGAGAATGTGAAAGAATAGAACAAATCCCAAACAGGATAAAGCCCAAAGACATCCACACCAAGACGAATCACAGTCAAATTTCTGAAAATTAAAGACAAAGAAAGTGGCCAGAGATAAATATAAAACAAAACTTACAAAACTTCGAAGGAAATGGCAATGTGTTTTGCAGGTACTGAGAGGAAAGAACTGACAACTCTGAATTCTGTGACTAATAAAAACAATTTGTGGTGGATCAGTCTGATTTTGATCTTTGCTTTGTCTCTTCAGACAATATATTTTTTGGTCTTTGAGTACCTTGTCATTTTTTCCTCAATAGCCATGCATTTTGTAGTGGGTAAAAGGGGATACAGTAAACAGGCTTTAGGTGATGTGGCAGAGGGGACACATTTGGTGACCAACATGAGATCTCAAGTCTCAGTGACCCTGTGTCTCTGTCTTGTAAATGCCACACGTGCCTCGCAGACCCCACCCAAGGCCCTTAAGGGGACGAGGATGGATGTCGTGGACTGGCTTTGTTTCCCATTCCCAGGTCACTTAAGCTCTGACACCATCTCAACTGTTTAGGCTCTGGAAAATAGTTTCTCTTGACCAGATAGAACAGAATGTTCCAGCTTATTTCAAAATAATTCCCTTTTCTCCATCCTCTTGACCAAACACAAGGTTTTTTTTTTCCTCCTAGTAATCACTGTGAGATCCTGGGTGAGCTAATATTCACAGAAGTACAGGGGACTCTTTCTTACTGGGTCGCCCTGGAGAGGTAAGATCTTAGACTAGTCCACACTGAACCCCAGCAACTCGTTAATTATAGTTCACATTTCTCCAACCGGCCCTGGTTCCTGGTAGATGTGTCAGCTGGTGGGTTGGTTTCTGTTCTGATAAGCTATTGTAGTCTATTCACCTGCAGGTCTTTCAGCATTTAGGGCAGTGGTTTTGCCTCTGCCTTCACTTCCCTGATAGACTAAGAGCTGTTAATTTTTCAGTTTGTCACAAGCTTTTTACTGAGTGATTACTGTACTTCCAAATTCCTTCTGTGTTTGATAGGGCTTGTGCATAGGTGCCCTCCCCAAAGCCTCATGCTGTCATAGGTAGGACTTTTTCAGCAGTGGCTGAATCTAGAATGTGGGATGGACTCATGGTGCGATGCTAGGATTAAGGATGCTAGGGATAAGGATGGGTGATTACTAAATCAGTCCACTGATTGTTTTGGTACCACCCTAATCCTGGTAGCCAAGATAAAATGTAAAAGAGGCAGAAAAAAGCTGCTAAGATCTCTTGCTTCTTTTGCTACCTTCTGCCCACCATGAGCTGTTTCTCCTCTGCCATGCCATCCTGCCTTGGAGCCAGCCCATTATAGACTGAAACCTCTAAAAGCTGTGAGCTAAATAAACCTTTCCCCCTTTAACCTTGGGTAGTGGGTATTTTGTCTCAGCAATAAGAAAATAACTAAGACTGCTGAACTGGAAACCAGAAGTCAAACTATTCTCTAGGAGTGAGGGAGAAATAAAGAAATCTCAGATGAAGGGAAATTTAAGAGAACATGTCACCAGAAAGCCTGCATAAGGAGTAAGTACCTAAAGAGTGGCCTCTACACAGAAAGGAAATTATAAAACTTCAGCATCTCAGGATTAAAGAAAGTAGATTTGATTATAAAACACAACCCAATGTTTCAATAAAAAAAGCTGTCGTATAGAATTACACTAATATATACGTAAGTAAAATGAATGACAATAATAATATTAAGACTGGTAAGGGAGAAATTAAATATACTGTTGTAAGCTTCTGCTACAATATATGTAGTATAATGTCTATAATGGGCTATGATAGATGTGATCTATAAACTCTAAAGAATACTAAGATAACACAATAAAAAAGAAGCATAGCAAACAAAACAACAGAGGAGATAAAACTGAATTATAAAAATACTCAATTAAGAGGTTGGGACGTAGCTCAGTGGTAGAGCACATGCTTAGCATACATAAGGGCCTAGTTTCAATCCCCAACACAAAAACAAGACATTCCATTAATCCCAGAAAAAGAGAGGGAAAAGAGTGAAGAACGGATGGGATAAATTTAAAAAAGAAGTACAGAGAGTGAGAGGAGTAAATCTAACCATACCAATAATTTACCTTAGATATAAATGGCTTAAACAATTTCAGTAAGAAGCAGTTTATCAATTGGACATTTTAAAAAGCCAGAGTCAACTATATGCTACTAACAAAAATGTACTTTATACATAAAGACACACATCAGGGCTGGGGACTTAGCTCAGTGGCACAGCACCTGCCTGGCAAGCACAAGGTCGTGAATTCAATTCCCAGTACTAGAAAAAAAAAAAAAATCTCACATACAGACACACATAGATCAAAAGAAAAAGGATGGGAAAGGAAATACAATGTGAACACTGACAAAAAGGATGTGGATAGCTATACTAATATAAAAGTATATTTCAAGCAGAAACTCATAAGGGATAAAGAAGGTCATGCAAAATGCTAGAGGGATCTATTTATTGATAACACATAACTATGCTAAATGTCTCTGCACCTTATAACAGAACTTCAAAATACATGAAGCAGAAACTGATAAAAATATAAGGAGAAGTTGACAAGTACATGTTTATAGTTATAGTCGAATGCCTCTCTATCAATCATTGATAGAACAATTATATATCAGAAAATTAATAAAGATTTAGAAGTTTTAACAACCCTGTGAATAAAAATTTACCTACTTATCATATATAGAAAACTTGGTCCAAATGCGACAAAACACATATTCTTTATAAGGACACATGGAATATTTTCCAACATATACTATATATTCGGAGCCATAAAACATACTTAGTAAATTTTTTGTGTTTATCAGCACATCTTTGCTGTACACAATGATAGCATTCATAACGGGAAGTTGGTGCATGTATATAGCACATCTTAATTCTTTTTACTTCCCCTTATGCTTAATGAATTTAAAAGGATTCACATTACATGAAGTATGTTTTCTAAACAAAGTACAATTTAAAAAGTAACCATTAACGAACATGTAAATGGGAAATTCTGAAACACTTGGAAATGCAACAACTCATTTCTCAATAAAAGTAGGTCAAATGGGAAATGAAAAGGAAAATTAACATTTTGTATAGAGTAAAAATGAGAACAGAATATGACAGCTTTTATGGGATGTCATTACAGTAGATTTAAGGGGAAATTTATAGCACTAAATGTCTATTTTAGAAAAAAAAAGAAAGGTCTCAGGTCAGTGACTTCACCTTCCACTTTGAGAAATTAGAAGAACAATTTAAACCCAAGTAAGCCTCAGAAAGGAAATAATAGAGACCAAAATGACAAATCAGTGAAATAGAAAAAATGAAAACATAAATAAAAATAAATAAAACCAAAAGCTAGCTCTTTGCATAGGTCAATAAAATGTAAAAACCCCTAGTCAGACTGACTAGGAAAAAAAATAGTTAACATACAAAATAGCCAATATTCAGAATCATGCATGTACTATCACTCA